TCCAGTGTACTCAATTCTGATATGAAGACAACTGATGCTAGTCCATGGTGGGGGGAAGAGGCATGGGGGAAGGGAGAGAGGAAAGGGGGAAGGGGGGTGTGGGGCCACAGGGTGACACATCTCTTGGGGGTGGGACACTATTAATAGAGGGACTTCACACACCAAACACAAGGAATATAACCTGGCTCACTGTACCCTCAATGATTTGCAACAATTAAAAAAAAATTAATTAAAATAACAATACAAGGATTAAGTAGGGCAAGACCAGACATTAAGACAGTAAGTACATCCTTCCTTATGAAATGAGGCAAGAGAGTGCTGCGATTTTGAAGTGTACTTAAACCTCATGATTGAAATGAACTGAAATTCCCAAGTGTCCTCTACTGCTCTCTCCATTCCAAGTCCTTGCTTAATATTCTAGGTTTTACTCAAACTCCTTACAGCATATGTAGGTCTTCAGCTTCATGCCTTTGCTATGGTTATGTCTGGGCTTATCATATCCTCTTCAGTGTTGTAATTGCACTGCAGTGCTGGAGCAAAACAAACAAAATTCTTAAATGTTAAAAAGCCATAGGGAACATGAAAAAAGAGACTGGGATAAATTTGTCTTCAATGTTCCAGAAAGATCCACCCTCACTTCCTGGGATTGGACTTTAGGACACGGTATGATGACTAATGAATCACACATCAAGAGGGATGTAAAAGAAAAGGGAGTTTCAAGGAAGAAAACTAACAATGCCAAAGGAGAGGGTGATCAAGAAGAGTCATGAAATAATTTACCGTTGAACTGTGCAGGGTGTGTTGATTAGATGTGGGAACTTTGAGAAAGACTTCTGGATTTCTGGCACAAGTGGTTAGATGACAGAGACACTTCCTGACAATGAGAATGGTCGAGAGCAGCTGAGAGGAGTACTGCCAGTTAAGTTCTTGAAGTAGAGGTCTCTGTGAGGGGACCAAGCTGAAAAGCAAAGCAGGAAGTTAGATATGTGGGCCTACAGGAAGAGAAGGGGCTGGAGGATGTGTATTTGGGTGTTGCTATGGATTGAATGTTTCCTCCAGAACCCATGTTGAAACTTAATCCCCAATGTGGTAGTATTGAGAAGTGTGGACTTTAAAGAGGTGATGGGTTATGAGGGCTCTGTCCTTGTGAATGGATTAATGGCCAAGAAAACATGGAAAATCCAGGTTAATGGGGGAAGACTCTTACTGCCGTTATTAAAACTTACTATCAGTAGCACTGACCAGGATGGGAAGCTTGATACATACTTGAGCTTGCTGGAGACTGGGGATCAGCTCCTTGGTCTCTGGCTACCTTCTTTCTAGATGAATACACTATGTTGAAAATTGAACTCCTTCACAATTACAATCAGCCAATTAGGTACCCTTGAGCTAATGTGGAAGGCAAAGAGAGGTAAAGGCACTAGTCTGCTACTTCTGATGGAGACTTGATGCTTCTACTGTAAGGAGGAATCCACCTGGTATTAACATCTCTGTGGCCATGTTCTCCAAGTGTTCAATCCCTCTTGGTTACCCCAATCCCAATGACAGTTCAGATGACTGCCTATATAGACTACAGAGGAGTAGTCTGAACCAAAAGTCTCTAGATTATTCCTAAATGTTTATTCCAAAGGCAGAATGTGCATAGGAGACCAGACTTCTTGCCCAGCTAGCACCCTGCAATGTCAGAAGAGTACATAAACTACTTACAAGCCTGCTTTAAGCCAGGAAAATGGTTGCAACATTTATGGGCATCCCATAAAGGGATGGTAGTCTGTAAAGAGTCCTTACCAATGAGTAGGACAAAGATGAATCCAATGGGCAAAAGACACGAGTAAGGCAGTTTGTAAAAGTGATACATAAAAATGGGTTTAACTGTACTAGTAATTAACAAAGAATAACTTAAAATAACAAAGTAAAACATTGTTCTATCAGATTAGCAAAGATGACAAAAAATGGTAAGGCAGGCAGGGTGTGGATAAAAGCTGGTGTCAAAGCAGTGCCACCTTTTTGTAGGTCTTTTGACAACATGCACTGAGAGCCTTCAACAGTGAGCACACCTTCTGATTCCAGTTCAGGACTTTATCCTGAAAAAATTTAAGGATGTACACAGATTTAGCTACAGATTATTTTGCAAAAGTGAAAAGCTGGAAACTACCCAAATATACAAAACTAGAGGAGGGAATTATGGTACTTTTGTATAATGAGATACCACAGTCATTAAAAGTGCCATAGAAGTATATTTTTTGACATGGAAATATGTTCACAATATATATGAACAGAACAAATCCAAAAGTCTTAAGTATTTATGCCTTAAGAAATTTATGTGAAAAAGAAAGCAGGGCATTAGTAAATTCTCAATGGACTGAAATTAAACTGTTACTGATCATTATGATATAGGACAAGTGGCATCCCACCCAGCTCGTGGAGCTGGGGGGGATGGACCGGCTGCCTCTGCCTTGGCAATGTTGGTGTGGTAGCAGCAAGCAGCAGAATCAATAGGCTGGAGGGTGGGCAGGGGGTCCCCATTTCCTAGGCCTGGGAATAAAAGGGATTGTAGCCATTCATTTGCAACCCAGACATGTTGTTCCAAACATGTCCCAGACACGCTAAATATAACTAACTAACCCCACTAAATATAACTATTGAGGGCTCCATGCAAGTACATATACCCCTAGACAAAGAGCCTACAGACAGACAGGGAAGGAGAGAGAGCACTTTTCTCTCCCAACTCCAGTTTTCTCTCTGCCAAGAGCTCTGGCACTTCTGTATTCTTTTCTGTAAATAAATCCTATCTTACCACTGATCTGTGGTCTGCAGATTCATTCTTCAAGTCACCAAGACCAAGAACTCACTGAAGAGCAAAATTCCGGTATCATTAGTATTTACCATGAATTAAGTAGATTTAGTTTATCTGTCATTAGAGGGAATAAGGCCTAAAATAGAAACTGACTTGAGTTATAGAAAATAGCTATAACTCAGGCAAAGTTGTCTCTAAATGGTGAAATCTGTACCTGTTAAATATGTATGTGGGTATATAGAAAATATTTGGAAGGATATCCACTAATTTTATAACAGTGGTTCCCTTGAATAGGGTGAGATCAGAGGGGAGAAAAGCTAATTAACTTTTTGTTTACACTTTTCTGTATAGTTTGGTTACAACAAGCATCCAAAATTTAAGGATACCGTAAAGTAAAAATGATGACTATTACTATGTAAATACTTAGAAACATGGAGAGTATCTATGGTATGATGATTAAAAATCATAATGCAAAATATGTATATTATGCTTATAAGTACGTTCATATTCTTCCATGTGAGAGAGGCCTGAAGGACAATACTGTATAATAAAAGTAGTTCAAGTTCATTCATTCATTCATTTACTCCACAAATGTTTGTTGAGCAGCTACTATGGGCTAGACAACTGTTCTAGGCACCAGGGACATACCAGGGAATCTAACAGTTAAATATGCCTCTCCTCACGAAATTTAAAATCCAAGAGACAATATATAATTTTTTTTTAAATTTCAGATTATGAGGGTACAAACGATTAGATTACGATGTGTGCTTTGTTAGGTAAGGTCCTGTAATTGTGCCCCTCATCCAAGAGGCGGGCCATATATCCTTCCATTGTGCCCATTACAGGAGAGCGCACCAATCCCCCTCATTTCTCTCTTCCCTAAACTTGAATTGAGTTTTCTCTTGTACAGGCAAGCAACACAGTTTTTAAAAAAAAAAAACAAGTTTCCAAAGTGTAACCTCTTTCCAAATAAATTAACCATATCAAGACCCCTGATCCAGCAACTATTATACCGAATAATTTCAGGTTTACCCAGTACTGAAAAATTTCAAGTTAGCCAAACTGTGATACGGAGAGATCATATGGATACAAGATATACCAAAAGACCAGAGCCTAGGTTCCAGTTTTCAAAAAGTGGGCAAAAACGGAGGCTAAGAATCAATCCACAGATCCTACATGTCGTTATACAAACGGGTTATGAAGTCCAAAAATTAGCAGTGTGCCCCCCTTGGATTCCACTTGAAATCAAGAACAAGAGTAACAGGCCAATTCTGGAACTCGGACGACCAACGTCTGAAGAAGCGGGAGGGAGGTTCCTTTCGAGGAGACCGTGGCACGCAATAGTGGGGTGTTACAGGCGCGGTCCCGACTTGCAATATCGCCCTAATTACTTGCAAAGAGCTCAGCACCGTGAGCGCGCAGCGGAGGGTCTTCAGGGCACCCTATTTTTACGATTGCCCCTTCCTTTTCTTTCCTTTTTTCAGACCCGGCGCAGGTCCTGCTTCTTTAAAAGGACAGTGAGAAAAAGTAATCGAGGAACAACATAAAACAGCCTCCTTCTGATATTGTAACAGATCTCTCTGCAGAGGAACAGGGAGACTGAGGCCTCGAAGCTGTTCGCACTGTTTCCAACGAGCACCGGACTCCGGAACTGAAGCTGCCTAGGCGCTCCCACCAGCCCAGGAAAGCCGGCCGTTGCTAGGTGATCCTGGAAGGAGGCGGACACGCGGCCCCACGCAGGCTCCGCCCCCACATCCGCGCTCCTTGTTCAGCCCTCTCCCGCCCAAGTCCCGCCCAGTCAGGCACAACTTGCGCAGACGCTCGCGACGCGTGTGTGCTTCTTCCCGGGCGGCTCTACGTGACGCGCGCGCCCCCATTCGGCTAGTCTCTGCCCCGCCCCTTCTTGTGAGGCAGCTGATCTGCGCCCCGGCTCCGTTCTCACACACCTGATCTTCAGGCCGGTGAACAGTGACTGTAGAACAGCCTGAATCCCGGAAGACCCACCTCCTTTGCTCCCGTGGTGGCGGTGGTGATGGGCGGGAGAGTGGGGTAGAAACAGGCGGGACGCTCAGAAGGCAGTTGCCGTGGGCCCACTTCCGGAGGGCGGGCGGAAGTTGCTGCGGTGGATGGTGGGAGGGAGAAAGGAGCGCTAGGGGAGGGCCGGGCAGCCGGGGGTCGAGGGGGTGGGGCCTGGGCCGGCTGCTGGGACGTAGCCTGGGGCCTGGATTGCGACCGGGGCGGGCTGCGGCTCCAGCAGAGTCTGGGCGGGCGGGACCAGGTAACGACTCCGCGCGGTTAGGGCGAGGGTCGTCCGCAGGGCAGAACGGTAGGTGTCGGAGTATAAGGAGGGTAGCGGTGTCACCCCTTTTCCCAGTGAACACAGAGCACGGGGTTTGGAGGAAAAGGTTGGGAGGAGTTACCTTCTTGCGAGGGGGGGTTGTCATGTGGACACCACGCCCCTATGGGAACGAAGGAAGGAAGGAAGGTTTTGTGTGTGTGTGTGTGTGTGTGTGTGTTTAGGAATGATTCTTGGAGCGGGAGGGGGTGACAGGCTTGGGCTCGCCGACCGAGACAAACATTTGCTCTCGGAGTGGCCCCTGGAAGGAATTTGACGGAGATAAAGAATTATATTCCTGGCACAGTTTTGGAACCCGGGAGGGAAGTGAGAGTTGATGGAAAGAAGGAATGCATGTGGAAGGTGCCAGCATCTCAGTCTGGAAAGGATTTAGTTCAGTCGAAGAGAGCTGTAGAATTAAGACACTGAGCACCCTAAGAAGCTTGGGAGATTTCAATTAGTATGGGTCCTTTAGACAAGAGGACAGGAAGACATTCTTTCTTAGAAGACAGTCTCCTGGTTACTTTTCTTTTGGGAGAACTGGTATGTTTCTTTTATCCTGAGTGTCTCTCTCTCTCTCTCTCTCTCTCTCACACACACACACACACACGGACGTACTAACGATGAGGTGCCTGGGGTGCAATATGTGAGTGTGGTAGGTACTTTGAATAGCTTTATGGAGTGTTGCCTGAAGGATTTTTGATGCTATAGCATAGTAAAGATCTCGAATTTAAGTAGGAAGTAGGAACTAGGAAATCTCAGGAAATCATTGGGTATATACACAATTAGAGAGTGTATAGTAGAACATTAAATTCATGTTTAAATGTTCCTTAGGTTAACACAGAAATCAGCCTTCTGGGCCATGCCGTTTCAAAGGCCTGTTTCTTCTCATGAGTCTCAGAGGAAGACAGATGGACCAGTCTTCAAAATGGATAACTTCCCCTGCCTGAACAAGAGATGGGATAGTATCTGGGATCTGCCCATCCTCAGACTCAGCTTAATAAGGCGGATTAATAAGGGGATGTAACAGAACCCAGAGAAGGACATTGAGGCCTCCAGTGGGGGGGGAGGGCCTGGACACACCCCTTCCCCCCAGACTGTTCCACCTCAGGGTCCACTCAGCCATGGACTTTGGATCTGGATGAGAGAAGAGAAGCTGCACTTTATTTGGTGGATCTGATTTGGGATTCTCAGTTGTGGCAATGGAGTGCTGCACGGAGGTTTGATGATCTCCAGGGGAGCCCCTGAAAGAGGAGAAAGGTAAGGTTCCTACCTCATTTCCTGCTTAATATCTTGCAGTGCCTGTACAGAAACTTGAGTGTATCATGTCTGGGAAGACTACCATTCAGAAAGCTTTACACTGATGGGTAAAACATCACTATCTTTGGGTGTATATTTGTTCCCAATCTCTCTCCTTACTCAGGCTGGAGGAGTACCTTGTAAGGGCTTGTGAGCAAGGCCAATTGTGAGGTTAGGCTAGTGAAATTTGGCCAAGGAGAGCAGGAAAAGAATTTAGGCTTCTGAAGGGAAGTTGGATTAGATTACCTTTAAGGGTCTTTCCAACACTGAGATAAAAGCATTCTAAGCCAGTTTAAGCTAATACTCTGGAATGGATTACCTAGTCCTGTGCAGAGGCAGGCTGCTTTGTTTCGGGAGCTAACTGAATATGACTGCTAGGGGGAGAGGAAGGGAATAGTCTAGATAACTCCTAAATTGTTTTTATTTTTCTCTCCCTCATAAGGGAGCTTAGGCCATGAAACCTCATGAAAAGAGAAGAGAACACAATTTGGGGAATCAGCAAGACTTAGGCTCTAATTCTGACTTCTTAGTCAGTGTGTAACCCTACATATGTCCATTAATGTCAGCATTTCTCTTCACCTATAAAATGGGGGTAACTAACTTTCCAGGTCCCTTGGAAACTGTCATAAGGAGCAAATGAAATGATGGATTTTGGAAAGGATCAAGGGGTATATATATGGAACAGTAACACTGATGTTTTCTGATATGCATGTTTGTCACAGAAAAACACTGAAGTAAGAGTTTTTCTTTTATTGGTTTAGTGTGCTGGCAAAAGCCTTGGAAGGTGTTCTTAAGTAAAAGCCTGACCTCACTTTGTCTCATTCTCTTGTTGTTAAACAATATCTGAAATCATCAAGTTGTAGAAAAAAGTGAATGGCTCTAAGGAGAACTTAGATCAAGGGATTCTGCTAGACATGACCTCCTGGCTCTCCAGTTCCATTTCAGGGTGCACCTTTGAAGCAGCAGATTAAGGAGAGGGGAGGGAAGTTTAAAGTCTCAAGGGCCAAGTGTCTGGTTAGGAGTTAAAACTGCATTTATTAGAGTAAGTGCATATCCTAGTCTTCTCTCATGCTCTTAAGCAAATGTCTCCCTCCCCCCAAACAACCCTTCACCCTTTGTATTGTGGCAGGCAGTGTTCCCACTTAAATAGACCTGTTTATAGTTATCTTCTCACCTCACACCAGCTTCTTTCAACTTCTGTTTACCTATGCCAGGATGCCTGCTTTTCCTAGTGACAACAAACAGCAGAAAGGAAAAGTGGAGTGTAGTGTTGGGAATTTTGAGAGACAATAGGTTAAGGTGAGCTGGGCGAGGAGCCAGAAGCCTGGTTTCTAGCATCTTTGCTGCTTCATAACAGTAACTCCTGGGGCTCTTGTATTCACTGGGGACTGGCAACAATAACTAAGGTCATTTGCAAACTGAAAAGCTTGTATTTATGCTTTACTTTGTAGAATTTTTTTCTCCCCCATCTTTCATTTCTTCCTTGCAAGTAGGAGTTCCTCATTCCCCTCATGGCCTGATGGCTGGGCAGGGAGCTCAGGGTGGAGTTGTTGGCCCTGAGCTGTTCTAGAAACTCTGGTTTCATGCCTAGGGTAGCCCCTTTGAGGCCAGGTTACTACTTTATTAGGTATGAGTCTCATCTCATGGGCTAGCCACCTTACACAGCCTTGCCTAGCAAATTCCTGATGCCAGTTTTTGCTTAGGCACAGAAATCACTGTGATCTCTCAGGGATCTATGATCTGGGATGCCTCCTTAAGTCATCTCTGGGATCCTGTGCTGTGGCAGAAGGCTTTCCTTATCCCACCTGGGAGGTCATCTTGTCCTTTGAGTGCTTGAATGCACTCTAAGCACCAGGAGTTGTGTTGTAGTTGTAATATGTGTAGCATTTACATCATGTGATATGTTGTCTGTCAGTTTGCCCTCACCACTGTGTTGTAAGGAAGACAGAACAAGGATTATTTCCTCAATTTAAGGGGAAGCTACAGAAGCCCTGAGTGGGAAGGCCCTGCCTGAGTGTGGAGTGGTAGATACTGAAATTGCCTGGCTAGGGCTGGGCTATTTCTGCGGTGTCTGACCTAAGAAGGGCCATCTGCATTCTGCTGCAAACCTTCAGGGAGGGAAACTCTGAGCCCTTCTAGTAAGACATTTCCTTCTTGGAGTGAACCATAAATCCTCTTCCCTGTCATTTCCACTAAAAGCACTGGTTCTGCCCTCTGCTTGACCCTTCCACAAGATAGTCCTCTCAAGATAGCCACTGTTTTTTTTCATAGAGGCACCAGATCTGGCACTCATCAAGTGTCAGCCTGCTTAGCTAACACCAGTAATAGATTTAACCAAGGGGCATGTGTGTATATTTTAACTAAATGTATTTATTCGTTTTTTTTTTTTGGAGACAGAGTCTCAAGCTCTTGCCCTGAGTAGATTGCCATGGTGTCATAGCTCACAGCAACTTCAAACTCTTGGGCTTAAGTGATTCTCTTGCCTCAGCCTCCCAAGTAGCTGGGACTATAGGCGCCTGCCATAATGCCCAGCTATTTTTTTGTTGTTGCAGTTGTCTTTGTTGTTTAGCTGGCCCAGGCTGGTAATCACTGGGCTATGGGCGCTGAACCTTTTTTTTTTTTTTTTTGAGACAGAGTCTCACTCTGTGCTCTGGGTAGAGTAGAGTACCGTGGTGTTAATAGCTCACAGCAACCTTAAACTCTTGGGATCAGGAAATCTCCTTGCCTCAGCCTCCTGAGTAGCTGGGACTACAGGTGCCTACCACAATGCCCAGCTAGTTTTTCTGTTTTTAGTAGAGACAGGGTCTTGCTCTTCTCAGGCTAGTCTTGAACTCCTCAGCTTAGGTGATTCACCTGCCTTGGCCTCCCAGAGTGCTAGGATTACAGGCATGAGCCACAGGGCCTTCCTATTTATTCCTTTCTTTATTCCAAATGGAATTGTAGGTAGTTAACCAAAAATTATATTTCACAGACATTACTTACTAATTACTGTGATAATATTTGTCCTTTCCTTGGCTTGGATGAGATAGGTTTCTGGATCTCCATGGGAGGGGAGGGGAAAAACAAAATATAGATTTAAAATTTTGTTTTTACTTTTACTGATGGTTTCAAACCAAGATCTGTCTTAAGTTCTGAGCATAAATCCTTTCCAAATTGTAAAAAATTTGGTGGTGTCTTGGGCATAGTTAATGAGGGGGAAATTTTCGTGGAATACTTTTCCTCCCTCTAGTTCTCTTTTTAGGTGGTAAGGTAGGCAGGAGACTCTTATCTCTTCTAATTCCATTTTCTCCTGTGACTGGATCCTCTTGTTTCTTCTGTTTGTTGATACTTCAATCCCACACTCATCCCCAGAATCCAGACCCTTGGTCCCTTGTTTCTGCCCTTCTTCCCCAGTTACCTATCCATGTAACCACTAGCAAGAGCCCAGGGCCTCTTTTCCCAGGTCAGTTTGGCACTCATTACCCTGCTTTCTTGTCTCTCAGACAATATGTTTTTTCTTGCTTCCATCTAAGAATTCAGCCCATTCTGATTCTCTCTAACCAGGCCCTTTCTTCTTGGGATACCCAGCTTGCAGTCGGAGAATGATCTTGTGAGCCTCGGAATTTAAATACAATATTGTAGAGATGGTGTGTGAGTTATGGTGCACAAACAGGCTCCCATCCTTTTTCCTGTTAAGTGGCCTTAGACCAGTGGTTCTCAACCTTCCTAAAGCCTCGGTCCTTTAATACAGTTCCTGTGTGTCACGACCCACAGGTTGAGAACTGCTGCCTTAGATGAAGTAGTATCAGGTTAGTGGTAGGAATCTGACATGTCATGGGCTTGTTAATCTTCCCCCATCTTTCAGCATCGTATCATGTTTGCCCTGAGTAGCTCAGACTACAGGTGCCTTTTCTTCTGGAAACTGATTTTATCTCTTTATGTCTTGGATCTACAAACCAGTATTTCCCTACTATTTGCACTTCTAGGAAACTTCATCATTTTTCTTCATATCTAGACAATGAGTTTGAGTTTGCCAGGCCCCAGTTCACCCCAACTCCCTCATTAGGAAAATGTAGAGAGGGCAGAGGTGAGAGACAGTGGCCTCTGATTGGCACATAAGCATGAGCTCAAGTCTCCTGCCACAGTCCACACAGCCAGCTAAACCAGACATGTCGGGCACATACCCTCCTCTCCCCACACAATGCAGCCTCACTGGTATGTCAGCTTCTCTCTGCTCCTTCAGAGCAGTGCTCCAGCTGCTTCTACCAAGATTTCCTGCTATCTCACTGTGCCTCTGTCATACTGGGCACCTAGCCCTTAAAGAGAGCATACTGACACTAGGGATACATGAGGGTTGGGAAGGACTGCCAGGTTCGGAGGTAGGAATGTGGAGTCTAAAACTTGGCTATGCTCCTCATTAGGTCTCGTGACATCCAGCAAACTGGCATTTACCCTGAATTTCAGACTCCTCATGTGTAGAACGGGGATGATACCCTCTCTGAGGAGCCACTAGGGAGGGAGGGGTCTGACATGATTGGCCTATCACCATGTCTGGTGATTCCTTAGCAATTTTGGTTTACCTTCTCACCATGGTGCAGGAGCCTGTAGGGCATACTCCACCTTTTGTTTTTCTAGGGCCCTGCTGGATTCCTGTAGAAACAAGTTAGCAAAGTCAGAAACCACACACTGAAGACTTCTGGACTGTTCTGTGCTCTGGAACATGGTGGATGGATGTAGATAGGGGAAGGGCTGAGTCAGTAGAATGTTGTCAGGTGGCAGCAATCCTTGTTAGGAAAGTCACCTCCTTAGCAGCTAGAAGTTTTTAGTACTTCCCACGGTCAGATGTGGTGAGGGGTAGGTGGTGGGGAGCTGAGGCCTCTGCAAAGGGTCAGGCAGGGGAGGTGGTGGTTGAGAGAGCAGGGCTGGTGCTGGAGCAATGGCTCCTTCTCTGGCCCTGGCCTGCACCGAGGCCTGTGTAAAATCCAGGGCTCAAGTCTTAGGCCTGGGTGCTTAGGAAAATCCTGACCTCTGCTCTGGTGCCGGTGCCCACCCCACAGCCAGGCCCTGCAATGTGTGTTTCCTCCTCACTTGGACTTTGTCCAGGGCTCAGCCACAGTACCTGCTGTGGAGTTTTCCCTCTCTTGCTGGGCGTGGGTCCTGAATCTCTCCTCCACCTCTTCTTCAGCTTCATTACCCTTCTTCTTTCTACAACATTAAATGCGTTTTTCAGGGTGTTCCCTGTCCCCTTTCACAGGCTATCACAAAAGCCTGTGATCCATTCCTTCTCTTCTTAGGCTTGGTGGTCCTACCCTGCTGACAGGTCTGCCTCTGCTATTTTTACCCAGCTAACAACTCTCATTCCCCCACCTCAAGGGAAAAACAAAAGAAAAGAAACTGCTGGCCCTATTCTGTTTTGGCAGCAGGTGTTTCCTCCCTGACTTCCCTTTTGGGTGCCGGTTTCCTGTTCTTACATCCCTGCCCTGCCGTTTGGGGGTGGGGGCATTGGCTCCCTGGCCTTGGGTTGGTGACTGCTTACCCCGCTGCCCCACCTACCTGAGGCAGGGCTCTTCCCTGCCACTCCCTCGTGCGGGCGTTGGGGTGAGGCGCGGGGCTCTGGATAGTTCTGGACAGTAGGAAGATGAGGGGGTGGGTGGGGGCGAGGACCAACTTTTGGAGCGGCGACCGGAGTAGGGAAAGGCCTGGGGCAACAGCTGCCTCTCGAAGTTATGGGCCCGGAAAAACTTGGGGTGTTCCGCCAACGGCAGTCGACTGAAAAGAGGCGGAGCGTGGGACGCTGGGCAGTGGTGAGCCCGCCCCCAGCCCGCCCGGCCCCTCCCCGCCTCCCGGGTAGGGCCACGTTGCCCGCCCGGCACTCGGTCCCGGCGCGCTGCAGTAGGGGCTGTCGAGGCGGGAGTCCATGGTGGCCGCGCGAGCACCTGAGCACCGGGCTGGTTTCTTGTGCGGAGGCAGGCCAAGTTCGGGGCCGGGAAGCTGGGGGTTCCTGGTGAGTCGGGGTCCGGGGACGGAGGTCCGACCCGAGGGAGGCCCCGAAGGCGCCTAGGGGGAGCTCCAGGGCGCAGGCTCCAGCCCCTGTGCCGCCCGAAAGCTCCGGTGCTCGAGAGCGAGAGGGGCTGGCCTCGGGAGCTGCAGCCTCCTTCTGAGCCAGGAAGTTGGAACTCTGCGCCTGATTCGGAATCCCAGGCCTCCAGCTGTCAGAGGGCGGACGGGCTCTGCGGGGTGTGGAGGATGTTGTGAAACTCGGCCTCAGGGCGACTGTGGGTGCGGGGCAGGGAGGAGGTGGGATCTCTGCGGAGGATTTGGGGAGTGGAAATGGGAAGTGACCTTTCTTCAAATTAGTAGGGAGTTCTTTCTGCTCAGGAAATACTGTTAATGTTGAATTACGTAAATTGGCTGGAAAACTTTTTTCCTACCTGTTTGCTAATGTGCCTCCAAGTCTTGCAGGGCTCCCATTTGATAAACCCTGGAGCAAAGCAACTGTGGCTGGCCTGGTCTGTGTGTCTCCACCAAAGAATGAACCCAAGAGCGAAGCTTCCCTTTGGATAATCCTTGCTGCTGTAGTGTGCTCAGTGTTCCTTTTAGAACATCACTGACTGCGATGTTATCCATCTTAATGTCCTGTTTATATTTTAGGCAATTTAGTCTCTGCTCTTAGATGCACACATCATCCGAGGTGTGCCTTCCACTGGAAATCCGTGTTTCCCCATTCTTTACATCACTGGAGACCATTGAGCTCACCTGGTTCCCTGCTTCTTCCTCTTATTCTCAGGGTTAGAAAGCACTGCAGTATATCGCATTTCAGCGGCTCATGCAGCTGGTTCTCATTTCCTGTTTGGGGCATTGGAGAAATTGTCACTGTTATCATCATCCAGACACCAGGGACTTTGGAGATGATCCAACTCAATCCTTTCATTTTATAGATGACAGAACTGAGGTACAAGTGGGTCAAGTGACTTATCCAAGCTTACCTGGTTTGCTGGTTGTGGGTTGCCTGAATCCCAGCCTTCATGCTTTTTGCTGCACTAGTATCACATTTCTCTTTAGCCTTTTCTTTTCCAGGATGAATAAGGTGCATCTCTTCCCTCCTAGGTGTTATTCTATAAGGCCTTGAATTATTTAGTGTATCATCTCTGATTTCCTTTCAGTTTTTCTATCCTGAAATTATGGAGCCTGGTACATAATACAGGAGTCTAGCGGAATGGTCTAAGAATGGATAGGATAATTCAGTTAGATCTTTATTATCTGTGATGTGTCCTGTACTTTCTGGACTTTATTATATAGTGCGTTTTAACATATTAAGCAAGGTAGAGATAGAAAGGAAAATCTGTCAATATTTCTTCCATCCCATGCTTAATTTTAAAGCTAAATATGACTTCTCCATTGTTGCTAATGATTGGAAGTTGACTATTTGGTGTTGACCTGCTGTTTAAGAAACATTTTTTCCAGAGCGAGGGGGCAGGCTGGAGAATACCATGGAACCAGAAGTGTTAGAAAGGCTCTTGGGTGGTACCTGTGGCTCAAGAAGTGGGGTGCCGGCTCCTTTTAGCATAGTTGGTGGGTTCAAGCCCAGGCCCAGCCAAAACTGCAAAACTAACAAACAAACAAAAAAAGAAAGGCTCTCATAGCTCTTAGGCAGTAATTGAAATGAAGAAATGATGAGCGAGCCCCACCGAACTTGGTAGGACCTGCTCAGAGCCACCTAGGTTTTGGCTGAAGGTTTTTATATACTGAAAAGATTCACTCATATTCCACTGTAGTATAAATGTCTTTGTACTTGGTGTGGACTGGTTGTGTCACTTTCCTAAAGGGGGTGTGAAAACTCTAGAAAAATAAAACTTGCTTTGAATTTGTGCCTTGCCGGTGAGTCTCATAAATAACATTTTTAGGGACTCAGGTCAGGATTAAGAACAGCTCTATTTTAAAAGGAAGGTGTAGCTAAGGCGCCAGCCACGTACACCTAAGGTGGCGGGTTCGAATCCCCAGCCTGGACCCGCCAAACAACAATGACGGCTGCAACCCAAAAATAGCC